GTTCCGTTTTTAAGTTTGCCTTTCCTTTCTTTCTTTCTCTCTCTCGTTTTCCCCCTTTATCTCTCTCCCTATGCCCCCTTCTTTCTCGGTTCTCTCCTCTCTCTTTCATCTCAATTCTTGTGTCTAGCCACGAATGACTGTAATACATTGTGTGTCTTAAGGAGAAAAAAAATAATTGTGTAAAGTCTCACGTTCATAGGTACAATAATTGGTAGTTACTGGAAGAAAAATTTTTCTCTCCTTAAGGTGATGGACGATTGTGTGGGTGTGTGTGTGTGTGTGACTTTCTTTTTCTCTTTCACTCTAGTCTCTCTCCCACTTCACCTTTCACTCTTTCCTCCATCCTCCCATCTCGCTCCTTTCTCTGACACAGTCGTAGCTGACCCTTCCTACTCCTCCTCTTACACATTTCATTCCGTCATTTTTCTCTTTCTCCTAACTTTCCAATCCATTAAATCTCCCACGCCATTTCTCTCCAGATTTTATCACTCCCACCTTCCTTTATCCCCCCTTCCCCCCTTCGTCCTTTCTCTTTATCGTTTCCTTTATATTTTCTTCCATCTCTTCTTCCCTTCCTCCCCCTTTCTCTCTTCCTTTCATACTCCCTATCTCTCTCTCTCTCCTTTTCCTCCCCCCTCCCTCCTTCTCTTCCTTTCATTCTCCCTCTCTCTTTCTTTCCTTCTCCCTCTCTCTCCCTTTCCTTCTCCCTCACCTCTCTCTCTTCCTTTCACTCTCCCTCTCTCCATTTCTTCTGTCTTCATTCTTCGTTCCCTCTCTCCGTCTATGCCTTCATTCCCCCTCTTTTTTCATTCTTCGTTCCCTCCCTCTCTCTTTTCTTCCTTCCTTTCTCTCTCTTTTCTTCCTCCCTCCCTCTCTCATTTCCTTCCTCCTTTCTCTCTCCCTCAATCTCAACCACATTCCTCACCATCTTAAATAGTTCTTGATAATCCTCAGTCAAATCGCAGTGCATTATAGACGAAACAAAACTGTTGCTATAATAAGTAAATGAAAATAACAACCCAATGTCAGGGACCATTTTTTTGTCGTATCTTCCTAAAGTCATTAATTGGATAATATTTGACTCCCTGTTTTGTTTTGTTTTTGCGGGGTTTTTTTTGTCTCAAGCGTGAATGTTTTCTAGGCATTGTGGTGTATTTTTTTTCCGCCTTTTCCGACGGTCATTAATTTTTTTTTTGGTCTGAGTTTTATCATCCCGATGAAAGTCTTTGTTGATGGAAATGTTTTTCTTTTTACGTACGTGAGTAATTTTTTTTTTCAAGTAGCGCCTTACAGTCAATGACCGACTGTTGATATCTCATACTTCATATTCATTAATCGGTTCTTTAACTTGTAATCTGGAGTAAATTATAAACTAACTGTCTCACTGAAAGAACTTAACTGACGCAGTTTTATGACCTAATCTTCCTCACCTTCGTCGTCGGATGTAAAGTACACCTCACGCCACACCCTCCTTGGTGGCTATAAAATCTTACGTCTTTTCCCCCGGGTTTTTGTTATCTTATATGAATACTTCCATTCACCAGTAAGTGGGACGTGACAACAGCTGTTAACGAACTGTGTTGACTGCTGTTATTTTTACACTGCTGTTATTGTGTCCCAATTTTATTTTGTCGACTGCTGTAATTACATTGACTGCTGTTATAGTGACGGCTTCTGTTCTGTGCATTTCCCCATCACTACTTTAACTAATCAAACAAAAAGGACAAAGTTACGTAACGTAGCAAAAGATAAAAAACTAATCCATGCTTTAAAAATATTATCCAACATATATGAGAACTTATAACATAACATACAAAAGGGGAAAAGATTATACTAAATAGATATACATGCTAATAAAGTGACCACTACAAAAAAACAACTACAGGAAAGTCGTCTTATCTAGGGTCTTGTACGTGTTGTTATTCACAGAGGGTGGAGTAAGGGACCAGAGTGTCTAGATAGAGGAAGATGATGGTGGGAATAATAAATGGGGAGATTTATCCGAGTATAGACTGTCAAGGCGGAAGTGGAGCAAGAATAGGAGAAGCTATGTAATGACAGAAATAAGGAGAAATGAGGTTTTGGGTTAATAATGTTGGGTTGTTGTGGTTAATTGAATGTAATGGCTTGTCTGGTGAGAGGATGTGTGTGTGTGTGTGAGAGAGATTCCAGCCACTCTTCTTTCTAACGGAAAAGGGTGTGAAAAAAATGAAGATAAAAACAGATATTTATACTTGATTGCTTGTAAAGACAAATATATGAACAACATCTCTCAATCGTCTTAACAGTTTAAAAGTCTCCTGCTGCGTTGAACCAGTGAGAATACATAAATTGCTGAATCATCATGACGGAGCAAATTCTTCACTACCCGGAGGATGAATAGCAAGTATGATGGTTTTCCAGCGACTCGTGCAGCATGGAAAGCGAGCATATTGTTATGGTAAATAATCTGCTTCTTGATAGTTTATTGAAGGTATTCTCTTTGCTTCTCTCCTTTCTTTGTCGCTTTCCCGCTGTTTATTGAATTTTGCTGCCATTCTCTTACTTTCTCTCTCTCGTTCTCTCCCTCCCTCTCTCTCACTCCATGATATACAGGTGTTCACCACGATATGACTCTCAAATTCTCCTCGACGCGAGCACATTTCCAACTGAAGATCTCATGATTCCTCAAGTATTCAGTACCGGAACGGCGTAAAAAAATTAGGAAAAGTGAAAACAAACAAGAAAACAAACGAAGTTAAGAATAGAAAGTCACTTGTATATAACCTCCCTACGAAATATTTTTCCTTGTTTGTGACTCAAATCGCACCTTAAATGACCTTTCCATTCGGGATGAAAATCAGAAAAGAAAGTGATGCTTATTATTTATTTAATGTCGTTTGCAATTGTGTTTGTGAAAGTAAGGCATTAAAATGTCCACTTTCTCCTTGTAATTCAAAGGGAAAGGGTGTTGTGAATTGTATAAGAGTGTGGGGAGTTAAAGTGTTGTGGGTTTAGTTTGTGTCATTCAGAAACATCAGAGCATAGAGTGTCTGTTTAATGGCCTGTCTATATATTTATTGATTAGTCTGTCTGTTGAATATTTTGTTTTTTTAATTATAATTATTACTGTTTTATGAGTATCCTGTTTGTTTGTTTGTTGGTTAATCTGTTTTGTTGTTGTTGTTGTGTTTGCTTGTTGGCAATCTGTGATTTATAGTTAATCTGCTTGTGATTTAGGTCTATTTCATTATTTAGTAAGTCGTTTCGTTTAATCATTAATCAAGATGTTTATTTATTCACCCGTTTGTTTGTTGAATAGTCTGTGCTGCCATAATTGGTGTGTTATTTTGCGTGTAAGACTAATTCAGGAGTTTCTCTCTGCTCATTATACACTGTTATTCTCCCAGCAGATCGCACATCCAGCGCCATTTGGAATAACGTCACTCCTACGTGTGATAACAGAAAGGTGATTATGTGCCCATGAGAGGGCACTGTGTACACAAAACATAAGTATGCCGCTTATGGTAGTACAAGATGTAGCACATGACATTAAGACATCATTGAACGTTAAGAATGTTGTTATATAAAAAAAAACAAATCTAAGTACAACTGTCCACATACATGTATTTAAATTTCATATAAATGGAAAACAGCAGACAGTCAGAACAACTAATCCAGTCTCTTTAGTCTTTATTGGAATATCTATTTGTTTATCGACTTAACTGTGCAGTGGCTATACTTATTTGTTTGTTTGTCTGTGTGTTTTTCTGTCTGTATCCCAGTTCAAGAGCAACGTCTTGAGATACAATCACTAGTTTATTAAGACACAGTCTATCGTAACGTCTATATTTACCGTACTTTAGAGGTCAAAAGGTCAAAGTTCAAGATATAAGGAGTCATTCACTTTTTCAGATGACAGTGTCAATTATCTACACCGAGGACTCCTGGTAACCTATGTGTTAATTTGTCATAATCAGAGCAACCATTACAATAAATACGATACGAATTATAATTGAATATCACCAGTATTAATCTCATCTAACCGAAATTTGATTAACCTAACCAAATCTACTCTTACCTAACTTCATTTAAGCAAAGTTAGGTTAAGATACCGAAAGACGTAAGAGTCACTTATATCTCATGCGAACTAAATTATGTCTGCCTGTCTCTCTGTCTCCCAGTAACATTACCTCCAGAAATGTAAAGAATGTATGTTCCGTGAGGCATGCGTGTATCTGTGTGTGTCTGTGTGCATGTGTGACTATTTAAACACGAGGTGACAGGACAAAAAAATAGAGGACGGAAGACTAGCAGGCTGTAATCGACCTCGACACGGCGAGTCGGCGGATGTATGGACACTGTTACTCGACCTATAAATCGACATTGCTATTGGGCTGATAAATCGACATTGTTGTTGGACTTATGAATCGACAGTTATTCGACTCTGCTCTACACCGGAAATGGTATAAGAAATCGATAATAATGATCGACATTGAGGCTCGACAGAGAAAGAAAGCAACATATTACATCGACCCTGATACTCGACTAAGGAGGAAGTCAACACCCCGCAACTGATCAGTATTCATGATGCTCCTGTCTGTTACGTCACATCAGGTAAATTTATGACCATACTATGAGAATGCATTTTTGTACTCCTCGAGTGGTCTGGTGTTCCTATTTCTGCTTCTTCTTATAGCACAGTTTACTCTCTGTGTAACCTGTCGTAGGTTAGTGTAAAGGATATTTGAGTTTATAAATGTGTTTACGTGTGTGTGTGTGTGTGTATAAACAGAGAAAATATGACGAAAAAATACATAAGCGGAGGACAAAAAAGTGTCAGTTGTGTGTTAAGTGACATAAAAGCTGTCATATATACAAATTCTTGCACCCTCTTACACCCAGCTGTGCTCACTCAGAGTAACATTACAGAAGTAGTCTTATGATCACACTCCACCAGGTGCGTGTGTGGGAGGTGGTCATCAGCCGGAACACAGGTAAACACAGCTCCCAGCACTCACTTGATGGTTGCGTGTAGCGGTGTGGACGTGGGTAGTGGGCGTGGCTTCCGGGTGGGCGTGAGCTTTGGGCGGCGTGAGAACTGCTGCAGCAGCTGCCAGCAGCAGCAGGTAAATAGAGGGGGTCATCTGGAGGAAGGACAGAGGTCATTGGTTACGAGAGGTCAGCGTTGGACCAGACGAGGAAGAGGAGGAGGAGGAGGAGGAGGAGGAGGAGAGGAGAAACAATGGTAAAATACGTAGGTGAAGAAACTAAGTGAAAGAGACAAAGGTGGATGGTATAAACGACAGATGAGGCGTTGCTGAAGATGAGAGTTGGAGTGAGGCTGAGAACACATATGTCGGTGATGCTGAAACGAGATAACGTGGTGCTGTAAACGAGAGCCGGTGTAATGAAGATGAAAGGAGCTAAAGAGAAGGTAACTGAACAGACACATTAAGATATCTTGGTAGTTGAGGAAAATAGAAATGCTAATAATACACATTGTAATCAAGAAGAATAACTGAACTCTTACCTGCAGATGACAGACACACAAACGTAAGGGTGATTAGCAGGATTTATTCGCAGTAGTTTCACCAGAGTTGTTATAGTCATCAGGGTTTAACAATATCATAAAATAATCCCAACTGGTTCATACACATTTCCAGGTAATATGGAGGAGATACCCTGTCTTTCTCTACCTGTCTATGCTGCGTGATAAAATAACTCGTAATTAATCATTTAGGTTCGAGTGTGTTTCAGTGGGCCGTCTCATGTTGTATTGGTAGTATAAACAATTGTTCTCTTTTTATAGCATCTGGTTTTTTTTTTTTGGGGGGGGGGTAATTCTCTAAAAGCATACGACCCATCTGACGTTCACCTAGAGCGGCCGCCTGGTGAAAGTACTGAGACACACCAGGAAGTTTTTGATACACTTAAGTGGTCACTCACACACACACACACACACTCTTGCTTACTTGTTTACTTGCTCATTTGACGTAGTACACAGGACCCTCCACCACCAGGCTAAAGGTCCTTGAACATCCTACCTCAGTAGAGCTGTCTGTGTTGTCTGTGTGACTGTCATTATATAACGGGCATGTGAGCTGTGTACTGTGTGACTGTCCTTGTATGATGTTTGTGTGCTGTGTACTGTGATGCTGTGTGTGTACTGTGTGATGACTGTCCAGTGTATTGTAGAGCTGTGTACTGTGTAATGACTGTCCTGTGTAATGACTGTCCTGTGTGTTGCAGAGCTGTGTACTGTGTAATGACTGTCCCATGTGTTGCAGAGCTGTGTACTGCAATGACTGTCCTGTGTATTGACTGTCCCATGTGTTGTAGATATGTGTACTGTGTGATGACTGTCCAGTGTATTGTAGAGCTGTGTACTGTGTAATGGCTGTCCTGTGTAATAACTGTCCTGTGTGTTGCAGAGCTGTGTACTGTGTAATGACTGTCCTTTGTGTTATAGAGCTGTGTACTGTATATTTTAGAGCATTGTACTGTGTGTTGACTGTACCCTCTATATTTTTTTTTGTGTCTGAACTTAAATGAATCGTTAAGTGTGTGCCCATGCGATTATTCTACTGAGAAAGATGTCGTAATATAGATAAATTGTTCAGAATCTCAATATATATCTCATTTTTATTTTATCCCAAAGTATCTTATCCTTGTTTCCCTCACCAGCCACGGCCTTCGAGTAAAACAAACATTTCAATCAGAAGAAAACACAATGAACAGTGGTATGGGTTAAGACAATAGTAAGAAAAACAGCTTCCTTTACCGTATCTTACTGTCGTCCGTCACGTCGTGCATCTGGCAATACACCATAAACAAACTTAGCTGGTGCGCGACAATAAACTTCGGGGACCTTAAACAATATAATTCTCTCTCTCGCTCCTTTTTTTTTTGACGGATTCAATAAAGTCATGTCGACATAATGTGACCCGTGTAAACTCTTCCCTTCTCTCCCTTTCACATCTCTCTCTCTCTCTCTCTCTCATGCCTCCCCTTCTCTATTTCTTCTTCTCACTCTCTTTCCTCCCATTCTCCTTTTTTTTCGTCCTCCCACTCCTTTACCGTACTTCCCATTTCCTTTCTCACTTCCGCTCCCCCTCTTCTTCAGTTCCCATCGTTCTCCATATTTTGAAGGGGAGATAAATACAGTATTTACCTGGAACGTGAAGTGAGTGAGTTTGTACTTCAGTTAGAATGCCATCCCTCACTTCGTCCTTCTCTTCCTTCCTCTTCCTCCTCGTTTTATTTCTTTAAACTTTGTATTTTTTTTCCGTAACCAGAGAGTAAGAATACGCCGAACACTCTTATTTAAGCTACGACATAAAAATTACGAGTAGGAAGGCATCCGAATTGCACTGAAACTCTGCCGGAACGAGAGATTTTGTCCTTATTTTGCCAAGTAGGAAAAGAAAATGTGCGAATCTTCAGGAAAATGGACCGTGTCTACTGTGCATGGACGTGACTTTCTACATATGTATAGGTGTTAATGCTGCGAGTCGTGACTCTAGGTGGGTGTTAGTGTTACTAAACGTTACTTTCAGCACTTGTAGGTGATAATCTCAAGCTGACTTGCTGTCGTTCTCAGCGTCCACAAGCGTGACCTTTAACATATGGAAGATTAAGCCATCTTCTTATGTGACCTAGGAAAATATATATAAAAATATTCTTAGACGTCTCATACAACACATATAGCGATTCATTATCAAGTACTGCTCGTGTTTCACCCAGGGTCATCTAGACGTCCATTATAAAATATGAACCTGGATATGAAGGTCGGTTCAAGCCAGTTCCCTCTCGACTTTACCGATGATAATTTAGCATTGTACTAAATATTTTCTGGGCCTTGATGCCTCACCATATATTCTACCTCATATAGTTATAAATTAAGTAAACAGATGGTAAATAAATACGTAGATGGATGGGATAGACAGAACTATAATGTCGTGGAATATTATTCATGTCTCGTAAACTTGGTACACAGTTTATGTATAGTCACTCCTGAAGCAGTACATCACGAAGAGGCCAAGTGCGGGAAATCCTAAAGCTTCACCAGTTCCTGATGAATCTTGAAGTAAAATTTGGTAACTCCTCCACCCGGAGATCCTATGTCATCCTGAAATGTTGCTGAACATCCTATATGGCAGTTTTTGACAAAATGAAAGATCCCGAAGGATAAGGGAAACTGCCGCTATTATGACATAAATGTGCTTCTTGTGGATAGGACGTTGCCTCACACATGTTCTTCAGGGCCACTCGACGACTAATACAGTATACAACTCTTCTTGGTGCTTAAATAGGCTTCTTGCTGACTCGTCATTCCAACACTCATACTCTCTTCACGGATCTGTGCCGCTATAGATTTACGCTCCTTGTGGCCCACGCGCGGACACACATCACGACTTCCCTAGTATCACGCCGATCAAGGCAGCCGGCAACGTGTCTCGACTCGACAACGGAACAAAAACTCGTCCTCCGCATATATTGTACTGTACTGTATATAAACAATGGAGATCGACCCCACTGAGATCCAAGAACAAGTCCAACAGAAGCCAAGAAGGATACACGTCTAACGCAGGCGACAAGCACCCTGTGCATCATCCTTTAATGTGATACAGAAATGAGTCTTCTGCCCCCGGATCCTAAGGGTCAAAGTTACCTGGCAGGCTACACTGTCTAAAACAGGTCTCGCCTACCTGGTATATGCTAATGAGTCAGGTCGAACCCGGAGTCTCGAGACGCTATCCCGTTTGGGGTTCTCATGAGGTGTCTAGTTGACTGGATGGATGGGTGGCTGGTTGACTGGATGGCTGGTTGACTGGGTGGCTTGTTGACTGGTGTGCCGTTAGAGCTGGTGACTGGAGAACCGTTAGTAGAGAATGGTGGGTGGGTGGTTGGTTGACTAGGTGGTTGGTTGACTAGGTGGCTGGTTAACTGGGAGGCTGGGTAACTGGTTGGTTGACTGGATGGCTGGTTGACTGGGTGGCTTGTTGACTGGTGTGCCGTTAGAGCTGGTGACTGGAGAACCGTTAGTAGAGAATGGTGGGTGGGTGGTTGGTTGACTAGGTGGTTGGTTGACTAGGTGGCTGGTTAACTGGGAGGCTGGGTAACTAGTTGGTTGACTGGGTGGCTGGTTGGCTGGTGTACCGTTAGTGATGGTGACTTAGTGGCTGACAGGTTAACTGGTCAACAGGCTGACTGAGGGTACCGTTATTGGTACAGGGAAAATTCCTTAGTATTCATGTGTGATGTTAATAAAAGTGTCCAAGATCGGGAGAGAACTGACACGCACACACACACACACACAGAGACACAGACACAGACACACACACACACACACAGACACACACACACACACACGCACATAACACAACTAAAGACCCCCATCACATACACACATCTCAAAACCCCCACCCCACACAACAACAACCACGATAATTAACGAGACCCTTAGCAACAGAGATTAGACATTTATTATCCAGCATGCGGCGACCCAAACGCTCCCACCAGGTGCTCGTAATCACCAATTCAGTGTCGTTAAATCCTCCTCTACGTCTCCTCCCCCTAACCCCCTATCTCAATTTCTCCCCAGCCCCCTTCTATCCCCCCTCCTCTCTCCTCCCTACCTCCCCGCAGCCCCCTAGCGAGCGCATCGTGAGGGTGGTGGGTTTAGGACTCGATCTCCTTGGCTGGGAGACCTCGGCCTGGGACAAGAATGCTGGAGGCTTCTTGGTGGGGGAGGGGGGTGGTGGAGAGAGACGCATCGAGTTTCCGGAGATGTTAAACAGGCTCTCTGGTCAACTAGATACTTATAGCTCTTAATAGGAGAAGGTTAATTGGAGGTTGCAGAGTTATTTGTGGTTTCTTGATGAAATTGACGGTGTTGCAAGAACAGGATTAGTACGAAGGTAGATTATTGATGTGAGAGAAGGAAAGGAGGAGGGTTAGACAACTTCCGATGACGTCAGCAGACACAGCAGTTTACTGGGATGTTGCATGACCTCACACCTGTTGTCCCCTTCCTCACACCTGTTGTCTCCTCCCTCACACGTGTTGTTCCTTCCCTTATACGTGTTTGTGCCACCTCTCACACCTTCTGTTCCCTCCCCCATACCTGCTGTCTCCTCCCCTA